CCCCCCCCCCCTCAAACGAGTGGTCATCTAATCGTCTGGGGCAATGGTCCGGTCCCATACAATCTCGTACCCAGAGCAATGCCTGTGCGCGGGCTAGGATGGCATTGGCTCAATGTTTATCAATCGTGCATGCCGACAAAGAACCGGAACCCCTAAATTTAGGGGTTCCGGTTGTCAATTTCCCCAGAGATCTATGCCAATGCCATCCTAGCCCGCGCACAGGCATTGCTTTGGGTACGAGATTGGGTTCCATAGAAAAATTTTCTATTTCATGTTTGATAGATCTGCTATTTCATAATTTGAAAATTCATGTTATTTCATGCGTTTTAGACAAGTTTTATGATAATCTGAAAGCCATATATTTGATATATTTTATGTCATCTAGATGAAAACATTAAGAGGTTAATATGCCTCCCCTCCCAGTTTCGAAAGAATTAGAAAATTGGTCCTTTCTGTTTTTTGTAGAAAATAAAATTACAAAGATGTTATGAAGCTGGCGAAAAGGCGTAAGCATATCTCGCATTTCTTTTCAACTGATTTTCATTTATTGATGTTGAGTCTCGAGAGAAATTTCAAATAATTTCCAGGTTATGGTGGCTGTTAAAACAATGTGCAGAGCTCGAGTATATTGACATTGCAGGAAGCATTGCAGTCACTGGACAGGTAGATATATTATTAGAAAGCTGTATGATTGCTAGGCGGGATACACCTACATGAAATATACAAGGAGAACATCGACGTTTCAAGCGGAGCAAGTAATAAATCACCACAGCTAGAAAGAGCATACTAAAATTAGTAAAATTGCAAAGTTTGGTTGCGAAATGTTGTAAAATACGGAAAATATAGCCCTGCAAAATTTGCAAATTTTGTATACTTTTGTATTGCATGCGGAAATTGCTACCATTTTCGGCCCAAATGTGGTAGGAATTTCCGCACGCAATACTAAAATATACAAAATTTGCAAACTTTGCAAGGCTATATTTTCCGTATTTTACAGCATTTCGCAACCAAGCTTTGCAATTTTACTCATTTTAGTATTATGCTCTTTCTAGCTGTGGTGATTTATTACTTGCCTAGTTTTAAAATTAGTCTATAATGCAGGCTTTCTTGCCATCCTACTTTTCCTACTTTTTCCTACTTTTCTTCAACTTTCCTACTTTTCCTATTTTTTGTTAAAAATTGCTTGATTTTCCTACTTTTTCCTACTTTTTCTCATAAAATCCTACTTTTTTAAGAAAGCTCTGGGAAAATCAGTATGTTATAGCTCTCGTAATTAGATCTATAGGACTGTAATTTTTTCCCCGTATTTGTGTTCCAAATGATAAGATCTCAGGAAGAGGAGAAGCTCATTTTCCGAGTATAAAATTCCATAGCATCTCTAGAATCATAATCAATAAATTAATGAAGACTCTGAAAATGCCATTTCCGACGATCTAGAGATTCCAAATTGCAAAGTTTGGTTGCGAAACGTTGTAAAGTGCGTAAAATATAGCCCTGCGAAATTTGCAAATTTTGTATTAACTTATATTACGCGCGGGAAAATGCACCACAATTGGGTCGAAAAGTGGTGCATTTTCCCTTGCCGAATACAAATTAGCCTAATACAAAATTTGCAAATTTCGTAGGGCTATATTTTCCTCATTTTACAACATTTCGCAGCCAAACTTTGCAATTTTACTAATTTTAACATGCTCTTTCTAGCTGTCGTGATGAATTTTTTTTCCTGCTAGATCAAAATTTAGTCTATAGCATTATCCATTGTGTTGCTGCAGAGCAGATGCCTTAGCTTTTATATCGATGCAACATTCATAGTTGTCTATATTAATATCTAATTTTAAAAGTTTTGAGAAAAAAATCCTGCATAGATGAATGAGTGCAAAAAATATTAAGCACCAAAAATTCACACAACTTCCTCATCATGCAGATATCTATTGGTCCACCCCTTACCACATATATCCTAGGGGGCCAATTAATTTGTATACTTTCCTACTTTTGTCCTACTTTTCTACTCATTTTCTTACTTTATTCCTACTTTTTACTTTTCCTAAAATTCTAGTCCTACTTTTATCCTACTTTTGTACACAAGCGTGCCAGAGAGCCTGATAATGGGAATTGTCTATTATATGATGATTCTAGGGAGAAACGGCAATAATCACGTATTGTTTTAGTGTTTCTTCATGCTGACAGAAAAATGTAAAACGGTGATTGCAGATGATTGTATCAGGGTAAGTAGTTGTTGTTTAGGTTGACTTAATATACATAAGATTACACCTAAGGCACTGTTATTGCATCTACACTTGCAGTTAACAGACAGTGGTCTAAAATTTCTAACAAAAAGATGCAGCTCCCTTGAAGAGCTGAGCATTTCTAACTGCTTGGGCCTGACGAATGCTGGCATTACAGACTTGTTTAAGCGATGCACAAAACTAAGAAGGCTTTCGTTTTGCAATCCTCCCAAACAAGGTACGGTACTTGATCTTTACTACTAACGCCGGACTATTTATCCAAAATTACTGTAAATCTTTCTGCTGCACACTTTTTATAGTAACAACTCAGAGTCTACTGGCATTACGACATTTGACTCAACTGGTAAGTTTTACTTAGAATTTGTTATTTGTGTTCAATCTGAGGTTCCCTTGAGTGTCAATGCTGTTTTTGAATAGCTGGAGGGTGAGTAGTCACGAGAGGTACGAGACCGACCCTTCAGCTATTCAAAAGCAGCATTGACACTCAAGAACAAGGGAAGCTCAGATTGAACATCCGTTAATGGAGTGTGCTTTTAGAGTACAGGCGTAAAAGTATATAACATATTTCTTTTTTTCATATGGCTATAAGGAAGAGCTCCAGTTGGCACAGCACAATTCAGTAAACGACAGTGTATTGTTCGTCGTTGGTTCAAGCTGCACTAAGCTCAGGTATATAACGATAACAGTGATTTGTAGAACTTCATTTCAACCAGCTGATTAGTCTCATTGTATTTTACAAGGCTGTTAAACCTAGAAGCTTGTCATAATGTGACCGACCATGGTGTTCAATGTCTTACAGCATGTTTTCAGCTACAGAAATTGACCATCAGCTATCTTGACAAGGTAATATGAACTATAATATTGAACTATGCCAGTGCTTGGGACTGATTGGATACAACTACCTAAAAAATACAAGGAGAACTCCTCCTTGTATTTTTCAGGATACTTGTTAATCCGAAGCTTTCTTCATATTAACTATATAAGTTTGTAATCATGACAAGATAACCAAAGCAAACTTGATCTTTTTCACGTTAAGACCAGGATGAATTTGTAATTTCTGCTGTATCGATTTAGGTGACAGATGCTAGCGTTGAATCCGTAGCTCAGAATGGAACATTGAGAGAGCTTCACGTTCGTTCGTGTGTTAATTTAACTGATAGAGGTAAAAAATTAAATAAATATTCTTGGAAATATCGTAAACCGAAGCACCACAGCATTTCGAAATTAGCTTCGCAGCGATATAGGACTTGTCAACTTTTTTGTTTAAATTTTAATATGTATTCATTTTTCGTAGCTGTCGAGCAGTTGGCCTTACATTGTTCTGATCTGCGGGAGTTGGATCTTAGTGGATCAGAAAGGATAAGAAATAAATCGCTGGATATTTTGGAGGAACATTTGGGGGATAATGAAGTTATGATGATAACTGTTGGAGGTAAGGTGTGGTGGTGATGATAATGATGATGGTGATGATAGTAGTGCTGATAATGGTGACGATGGTAATGATGATGATCATACTGGTGACGATGGTAATGATGATGATGATTGTGTGATAGCGGTGATGATGGATGATGGATGATGGATGATGGATGATGGATGATGGATGATGGATGATGGATGATGGATGATGGATGATGGATGATGGATGATGGATGATGATGATGATGATGATGATGATGATGATGATGATGATGGTGATGGTGATGGTGATGGTGATGGTGATGCTGACAATGATGACGGTTGGAATGGTGATGGTGATGGTAGTGCTGACAATGGTGATGCTGACAATGATGGACAATGGTGATGCTGGCAATGATTGAGGTTGGAATGGTGGTGGTGATAGTAATGGTGGTGACGATGATTTTAATGATCAAAGATGGTGATCTTTGTAAATATTCTAGGCACAGGTATAACAATGGTGAGAGCATTACAAACACAAGAACGTCATCCAAGCTGGGATGTGACAACACAGGACCTTTCAGATCATCACTTGCGTGGGGACTTTGACCCTTACATGGACATGGGTCGTATCCTGCCGGAGTACAGTGACAGCGACTCTGAGGAAGGACCATTTCAGTTTCATGGTGATGTTGAATATGATGCTGAAGATTATTTAACAGCTGATGATCCTTCGATGTGGGAGTATGAAGAAGAGTGGATGTCTTAGAGCCAAGAACTGAAGGCAGATTTACACCACACAACTTTTGCCTAAAACTGTCGCATGCAACCTGCTTACAACTTGAGTTGTACTTTGTGTAAATCAAGCACAAACGTTGTCGTGGAAATCGGCTTTTAAGCAACAAAAGTTGTGTAGTGTAAATTGGCCTTAAGGTTACAGAACACCTTTGAGGGTTAATTTTGCCTAAAAATTTTTTATTGGTTTCAATGAAAGCATTAGACTAGTTCTACTATCTGACCAAGTTTGAACGAAAAATGTTGAAAACTCGCAGAGTTATTTAGTAAAATACATTTCGCTGCAATAAGAAAAACATTGAAAATGTAATATTCAAATTCAATTTTCTCACGAAAACTTTTACGGTAATTACTGATTTTCAAACGAGTTATGCTCCTGCGGGTTTTAACCAATTTTTCTCAAATTTTCCCAGGACACAGCTAAATACGTCAGTTTCAAAATTGTGTTCGGCTTTTATTTAATTTTGGATATTTCAAAAATAAAGAGCAATTCACTCAAACAATTCAGAAATATATTGCAGTCGTCAAAGAAATCGCCATATCAGCGGAATGACGAAATAAACAAAAATTTCCGAACACAATTTTTTAGAACAACTATTTTACTGTATAAAAGTGATATTTTCATAAATATAACTTAAAACCAGCAGGAGCACAACTCAAAAGCGTAAAGGTGCCGCGATTTAAGATTTTCCTGAATAACTCTTACATTATTTTACTGTTTGTTATTTTTACAACTTTACCATATTTTGCATGCACTGGAGAACATTTGGTGAAAATTTGATGAAAATCGGACTGATATTGAGCGCGCAGTAGCGATTTTCCGCAAAACGCCAAAAAGGGTGTCCTGTAACCTTAAGGAAATCACGATTTCTGCCTTCAGTCAATGTTATCCTCATGGGAAATAGCAGATGTTGTCAGTTTGCGATGTCAAAAGACGAGATTGTACAATCTACTAACATTGGACAAGCACTAAAATGGATTCAATAAGTTGCGTTTGCAAATATTGCTTGACGGTGAACGTGGATCGTTTACAGTATATATATTCGTAATTAACGACTATAAATGTTGGTGACAACTGAACTATATAGAGAATAATACATGGGTGCGCGGAAATACCAGATTTATTTCGAGTGTTGAACATTGTATCGCAGTTTAATGATTAAACTGTGATTGTATCTCACGAGTGAGCGCAGCGAACGAGTGAGGTATCATGTTCAACACGAGAAATAAATCTGGTATTTTCAAACAGCCATGTATTTTTCTGTTTATTATATAAACAAAATTCAGTGTAAAGCAATAAAACGTCCGTGGCAATGCGTTTTACAAAAAATGATATTTTCACACGTAAAAATATCGTATTTTTACGTGTGTTTAAATACGATTATTCTCAGTGGCCAAAAACTCTATATAACACTTATGTTTATATAATAAAAAGAGTTAATACCATTTTTATTTTGCGTGGCAAGTTGTGAGTACTTTGACAACACAAACAAAAATAAAATATTCAAAACTGTTGTTATTCTTCTCTCACAGTCTCACCAAAGGCACAGAATACTACACAGAAGTCCATCTCCATTGTTTTTAGCGTAAGCTCTATTCGTCATGATTCGTCACTCAGCAAGTACCGTAAACAGAAGCAATCACCCCCCTGGACATACGCCATTTTTAGTATTTCCAGGAGGGGGACTGCTTCTGTTTACGGTACTTGCTGAGTGACGAATCATGACGAATAGAGCTTACGCTAAAAACAATGGAGATGGACTTCTGTGTAGTATTCTGTGCCAAAGGTCTCACTTTGCTTTCCTGCCGTTATAGACCTTATTCATAAATCGTGATGAGGCATCGTATCCTAGGAAACGGGGGAAAACGCGGGAAAATTTACAAAATGTTTTTTTGCTGTCGGCACAGATGAGGTATATACTTAATGTATGCTGTCGGCTATGGCAGCTTTTTTTCGTGAATATTACGGCTTTTTTCGAAAAATATATTTATAAAACTGATCTTGAAAGTTGAAAAAATACTTCTGAAAAAATATAACATGATATTTAAAGCAAAAGATGCTGGAGTCAATTGAAAAAGGAAACCTTTGACTTTGTATTATTGCCAAGTTTGTATGGGCAAAACAAACAACCAACAAGGCTACAAAACGTCTATACAACACCAAAATCGTAAGAAATATGAAACTACTGTTGACGAAACAGGATTACAACTCACTCAGGTAATGTAGCCTCCATTTTTTAAACTTGTAAGCTGCTTGCAGAATGTTATCGAGCAACAGCCATAGTTCATATTTTTCCGTACGAATCAATAACATTTGACGTTCGCTGTGATTTTTCACCTGTTGTTTTCTTTCATATTACTGTCAAATTTGAAAAATTATACTTTCATTCCATAGTTGTCTTGATTTTTCACGGAATAACCTTTATATTGACGATAAAATCTCAGTAAAATACTGTTTTTCGCTTCTGGATAAACACCATCGCTACGTTGTCATTTTTTCCACACAAGAATGGGAGAAAAACCGGTCGCTTTTATAATATACTCGTTTACCGCTTTCGTGTTTCGAATGCATGTTTCCAATCGAGAGTATGTAATACTACAATACCATGGTTCACCGTTGTTTTACTGTTACAGTAATATAGTTTGTTTCTGAATATAGTATACCTATCGTTTTGACGCCTGATAATTCTCCACTCATTTCCATTATGATTAATTGCAACACAATACTCAGACCCTTTAAAATACCGAAATTTAATTGTTAGGTTAGATCTGATAGAGCTATCCAGTAGAAATATTAAAAGTAGCTTGATTAATTCAGGGATATAGTTGTATAATGCTACTATTTTTAATAAAATCTATCTGTCTCATCTGAAGTTGGTTTGGTTTATGGTTTAATTAAAAAAATATTCACATTCTTACCTTTCAACAATCTGTACAACATCTTCGTCATTGAGTTGATGTTCCTTTCCCGCTTACTGTGGATTATGTTTTACTGATGAGCCCCAAACTAAACCACTGGATAAACATTGAAAAAAAAATATTGTCAAGGGGAGAGGACTGGCGCTCAAGGGGTTAATATCGTATTTAATTTTCAACCAAAAAGGAGTCTGATAAAAAAACAAGAATGACTGTGGCTTACTGTTTAAATTCCTTGATGATGGATCTATGTAGTCGATTACAAAAATCTTCAACTGTGGTCATCGTACCACGAAGAATGACTGGCGAATTATAATCAGGCAGCTGACCTTTTGGTTTCGTATATCTGAAAAGAAAATGGTATTTCAAACGAACAAATTAGCTGACAGTTAAAATGATACATGAAAAAATTCAGGGGCGCCGAACCCACGGGGGCAGCGGGGGCAGCACGGGGGCAGCACGGGGGCAGCACGGGGGCAGCAGGTTGCCTTTTTTACCAGAACTGCACTTCGAACTTCGTGCGTTTTTCACATGAATTGAAGTTGAAAACTGTTTTTAAACAATTTAGCTCATATTTGAATCTGAATTCCTCTCAAAAACATTACCAATCAGCTTCCACCTATGAAAAAAGGGAAAAAGAAAGCCTTCCTAAACAACTGACAACTGTCATGTTGCTTTACAATACATTTTAGTCTTTAGTGTCATGCAACGAATAAAAATGCTCCAATCCATGCCGAAATTTGTCTAACGTAACGAAGTATCCATTATACAGCAAAATGTTAACGAACATTGCCCACCCCCCAAAAAAAAATTAAGGCTCGAGAGTAAGTGCCCTATTTAAATGGCTGCCCCCGCCGCTTCATGTTGCTTCCGGCGCCCCTGAGACAAAGAGCTCGGAGTTGCAAACTAACCACAACTGAACTAAGAGGTCTTAATCTTTTGTTCATTACGCATATTTTAAATGCAGAATCAGTCCGGTCGAATTTGACACAAGGCACCGGCTCATTTCACCGAAATTCACCGGGCTTTAATTCGTCTTAAAATAGTTTAAATATGTTCATTAGGGAAGAATAAGTAGGAATCTACCGTTGGCTTTCGTCCTGGGTGAATATTTTACAAAAAAAAGATAAAAACGTAATTTCAAATATCGCTCAATGATATAAGAAAAAATTTGTCCAGGGCGAAACCTGTAGTTATTACCACTAGACCAAGAGCTCGGACTTGCAAACTAACCACAACTGAACTGAGTGGTCTTAATCTTTTGTTCATTACGCATATTTTAAATGGAGAATCAGTCCGGATCGAATTTGACACAAGGCACCGGCTCATTTCACCGAAATTCACCGGGCTTTAATTCGTCTTAAAATAGTTTAAATATGTTCATTAGGGAAGAATAAGTAGGAATCTACCGTTGGCTTTCGTCCTGGGTGAATATTTTAGAAAAAAAAGATAAAAACGTAATTTCAAATATCGCTCAATGATATAAGAAAAATATTGTCCAGGGCGAAACATGTAGTTATTACCACTAGACCAAGAGCTCGGAGTTGCAAACTAACCACAACTGAACTAAGTGGTCTTAATCTTTTGTTCATTACGCATATTTTAAATGGAGAATCAGTCCGGATCGAATTTGACACAAGGCACCGGCTCATTTCACCGAAATTTACCGGGCTTTAATTCGTCTTAAAATAGTTTAAATATATTCATTAGGGAAGGATAAGTAGGAATCTACCGTTGGCTTTCGTCCTGGGTGAATATTTTACAAAAAAAAGATAAAAACGTAATTTCAAATATCGCTCAATAATATAAGAAAAAATTTGTCCAGGGCGAAACCTGTAGTTATTACCACTAGACCAAGAGCTCGGAGTTGCAAACTAACCACAACTGAACTAAGTGGTCTTAATCTTTTGTTCATTACGCATATTTTAAATGGAGAATCAGTCCTGATCGAATTTGACACAAGGGACCGGCTCATTTCACCGAAATTCACCGGGCTTTAATTCGTCTTAAAATAGTTTAAATATGTTCATTAGGGAAGAATAAGTAGGAATCTACCGTTGGCTTTCGTCCTGGGTGAATATTTTAGAAAAAAATAGATAAAAACGTAATTTCAAATATCGCTCAATGATATAAGAAAAAAATTGTCCAGGGCGAAACCTGTAGTTATTACCACTAGACCAAGAGCTCGGAGTTGCAAACTAACCACAACTGAACTAAGTGGTCTTAATCTTTTGTTCATTACGCATATTTTAAATGGAGAATCAGTCCGGATCGAATTTGACACAAGGCACCGGCTCATTTCACCGAAATTCACCGGGCTTTAATTCGTCTTAAAATAGTTTAAATATGTTCATTAGGGAAGAATAAGTAGGAATCTACCGTTGGCTTTCGTCCTGGGTGAATATTTTAGAAAAAAAAGATAAAAACGTAATTTTAAATATCGCTCAATGATATAAGAAAAAATTTGTCCAGGGCGAAACCTGTAGTTATTACCACTAGACCAAGCAGGGGCGCCGGAGCCACGGGGGCAGCGGGGGCAGCTGCCCCCGTTGCCTAAACAGTGCGGGGGCAGCAATGGGGCAGCAGGTTGCCTTTTTTACCAGAACTGCACTTCGAACTTCGTACGGTTTTCACATGAATTGAAGTTGAAAACTGTTTTTAAACAATTTAGCTCATATTTGAATCTGAATTCCTCTCAGAAACATTACCAATCAGCTTCCACCTATGAAAAAAGGGAAAAAGAAAGCCTTCCTAAACAACTGACAACTGTCATGTTGCTTTACAATACATTTTAGTCTTTACAATACATTATCGTCTACAAGTAACGAAGTATCCGTTATACAGCAAAATGTTAACGAACATTGCCCCCCCCCCCCCAAGGCTCGAGAGTAAGTGCCCTATTTAAATGGCTGCCCCCGCTGCTTCATGTTGCTTCCGGCGCCCCTGAGAAAATTTGATGTAGTTTCATTACTGAAACCCATCCATGCTTAATGATTGACCGATAATCGGTATCGGCGTTGGGTCGATTTTTGTCTTATTGGTAGACAATCGGAATCGGTAGAATTATCTATATTTCCGATTGTCTAAAACCGATTGTTAAAGGTGATCGACAGTCCGATCTGCGCATGTGCACAAATGAGCCCACTTTTTATGATACAAACAGTTTAACTATGTTTTGAGTTCTTGAAAAGCCTGATTGTTGTTTCTTGATCATTTATTATGCTCTAGAAGCTTGAAAATATAAATAATTGTCGAATAAAGCTCAATATTTTGGACACAAAAATGTAAACAAAGGCTTTGTTTACATACGGACTGTAGAGCACCTTTAAGAAATACACACTTTAAAAGTTACCCCCTGGGCAAACTAGGAAACATTGTTGCGGAAACATAATTTGTGATTCTCGATGTTTCCTCACATGTTTCCATGTTTGGCCACCCGTGGAAACATTGTTGCGGAAACAAAATTTGCTTCCCCCTCCAAAAATGTTTCCTAGCAAATTCAGAAACATTTGATGTTTCCCTATGTTTCTCACTAATGTTTCCTATAGTGTTTGCCCACTCTGGGAAACATGGCGAAACATTGGCAGGAAACAATGTTTC